TTTTTTTAAGCTCAAGACATAAAATGTTTTCATGAATTGTTTTCATGAATCACCCTGATCTGTTAGCAAATCCTCTCAGCTCTTCGTTCAATTATGTCAATAGTCTATCTAGTTTTTAACCACCTTCACTGCTACTTTGCTCACCACATCCAGCCTGTATTATTGCAGTTACCTCCTAGTTGCTCTTCTGCTTCTACCTTGTCCCCTACTCCCACAGCTTATTCCCTGTAGCATAGATGCCAAAGCGAACCTGTTAAAATGTGAGTCAGATTATGGCACTGCTCTTAAACCCCTCCAATGTCTTCTCATTTCTCTCAGTAAAAGCCAAAGTCCTTACAATGCCTGTAGGCCTTACACAGTCTGTCCTCCCACAGCCTCTGACTTGCTCACCGGCTTTTCTCCAACAAATCCACTCCAACCACATTGGGTTTTTTTCCTATTCCTAGAACACACTGAACACACACTAATAGCGCTAGTCTTTTCTCTGTCTGAAACACTTTCCTCAGTTATCCCAACCTTTCCTCTTTCACGCCCTTCAGGTTCTTACTCAAATGTCACCTTCTTAATGTGGCCTTTCTAAAATTGTAAACCCTCCTCATACACATATGTCTAAATGTTCTGTTATTTATTTACCCACCAGGACCGGGCAGGCAGCATTGTCTTGAAGGTGCTCATCTCTTTTAAAGCTAATGATATTGAAAAGGCAGTTCAATCTCTGGACAAGAATGGTGTGGATCTCCTAATGAAGTATATTTATAAAGGATTTGAGAGCCCCTCTGATAATAGCAGTGCTATGTTACTGCAGTGGCATGAAAAGGTAAGTTATGAATTATAAATCTATATGACTGGTTCTTTTACAGTAGGGAATGACAGTGACAACCTCTTTCACCTAAATAACCATTTTGACTTGGTTGTACATTTTTGTTACTGCAAATAAAATGCATGAAAATTATAGTTCATATTTATGTTTACTAGGCTTAGTCTTAAGAGATTCTGATTCCAATACTTGGGTTTATTCAGCAGTGATTATTAGTAATTAAACATAATCTTGAACTTTGAATTAAATCAAAACTTTGTAAAAGGAAATAATAAAAATCAAGAATTCTTTCACAGGGACCAAAAGGTGAAAACAAGCCAAGAGTCATCAACAGACAAACAGCTAAATTGTGGTACATACAGTGGAATATGATCCAACCATAAAAATGATTGACACTCTGACACATGCTGTAACATGGGTGAACCTTGAAAACATACCAAGCGAAATGAGCCAAACACAAAAGAACAAATCTTCTAATTTTATTTATATGAAATAATCTACGATAGGCAACACAAAAGGACAGAAAGTCCTTAGAGGTTACCAGGAAGTAGGGAAAGCAAGGAAAGGAGAGTTAGTGCTTAATGGGTACAGAGTTCCTGCTTGGAGTGGTAAAAAATGTTTTGGAAACAGTTCATGGTGATAGCTACAGTACATTGTGAATGTAATTAATGCCACTGGATTTTACTTTTAAAGATGGTTAAAATAGCAAATTTTGTGTTATATGTTTTACAACTTTATTTTTTAAAGAATTAGGGGTTTGGAGGATTAAGAATTCTTAAATCATTTTTTTCTATTTTCACACGTGTATTTGGCAGTGTAGTTGCCTGCACACCATCTGTCAAAAAAAAGGAGTAGAAGGGATTTTGAACTTTGGGTAAAAAATTGAATAACATTTAAATAGAACCAACCATAAAAATATTCAGTGTTTGAAGTGTATGAGTGAAAACACACACGTAAGAAAAAAGTACATAGTAAAACTTGTTTATCCTTGGTCGAGTCACCTTATCCCTCATACACTATCAAAAAGAACTCCCATTTATGGATAGGGTAACCATTCCTCACAGTTTTCCCAGTATAGCCCCAATTTATGCCTGTTGTCCCATCATAACTATAAATAGTTACCCCTTTTACTCTAAAATATACCAGTTTGGATAGTAATTTATATGGCATCCTATTCATGGAACACTTTGTGTTGCTAGGCAACATATTATTTATGTTTTATTTCATCTTTACAACAACCCCGTGAAATATATAAATACCTTTATCCTCAATTTACAGATGAAGAGCCAGCTTTAAAACCCAGGCAGTTTAGTTCTAGTATAGCCTCAGGATTGTAGTGCACATTCATTGAGCACTTAGTATATTCCAGATACTCTTCCAAAGACTTTCTAAATATTAACTCATTTAATCCTCATAAAAATGGAGGGGAAACCTTGATATTATTCTTCTTTGGTAGCTGAGGAAACTGAGACATGTGTTATCTTCATTTCTTCCAAATGTCAGTCACCAGTTTTTACCAGTCTTCTAAGTATTTTTGAAATCTGTCTGTTCAAGTTTATCTAATGCAACTGTTCACAGCTTCTCTCCCAGTCTGTTGCTATAGGTTCCTGACTGGTTTCCCAGCTACCAGTTTTGTCTCCCTCAAATCTGTTCTCCACCCAGCCATCAGAATGATTTCTTTAAAATCAAAATTGCTCTTGTCAGTCACCTGCAGGATAAAGTCAGAGTTCCCAAGTCTAGCCTCATCTTCCATGTCATTCTTCCCTTCAGACTATAGCAGTGCCAGCCTTTTTCCTGAACACACCATATCGTTTCACACCTCTATACATTTGCTCATGATTTTCTGGTGTTAGCTTGTCACCTACTCATTGTTTTAATGTGTCATTTCCTCCAGGAAGCCTTAGCTGAAACATTCCTCTATACTGTTAATCTGGGTATATGCCTCTCCCTGGTACTTTAATAACACCCAAAGTACAACTCTCTTTTCATACATAAGATTAAAATTATATGTTTATAGGTCTGTCTCCTCGTGCTAGACTGGAAAATGCTGTATTTGTTCACTTTTATATCCCCAGCATCTGCCACAGAATACAGAGTTATTCCATAAGTATTTTTTGAACAGAGATAAACCAGAGCTCAGATCCCTAATACTTGATCATTACTTTCCATTTTTCAACTTAGAGTCAGAGTTAAAGTTTCTAAGTTCTTCGCTATTAAGCAATACCTTCTTTCTTTGGGAGAAAACAATTTGACAGAGGCTCCAGTTGAAGTACAAGTTGGGATGGGTTATCCCAGTTTGAATATTCTTCTGGCTATATGGTGAGAATGAGAGATTTGGAATTTCCACCTGTTTTGAGCAGGAACATTATGCTGCAGATTTTTTTAAACATTATTTAGAATTAATACAGAAGAATGTAAACTAGTGTCTCACTAGAATGTAGGCTCATAAGGGCAGGGACTTTTAAGGTTTTGTTTATTACTGTAACCCCAGTGTCAAGAACAGTACCGGGTATGTAATTGGTGCTTAAGAATTTATTATTTGCTAAATAATAAATTCAAGGTCTATAGCCATGCCCATTCCTTCTTCAAGAAAAATGTTTTACTTATGAGAATTGATCCTTTATGATTCTGTCAACATTTACATCTTGGTTTGTTTGTAGGCACTTGCTGCTGGAGGAGTAGGGTCCATTGTTCGTGTCTTGACTGCAAGAAAAACCGTGTAGTCTGGCAGGAAGTGGATATCTGCCTCGGGAGTGGGAATTGCTGGTACAAAGACCAAAACAACCAAATGCCACCGCTGCCCTGTGGGTAGCATCTGTTTCTCTCAGCTTTGCCTTCTTGCTTCCTTTTTCATATCTGTAAAGAAGAAAATTACATATCAGTTTTCCTTCAATGAAAATTGGGATAATATTGAAGAAATTATGTTACAATAGAAGTGTTTCATCCTCTCAAAACCATTTCAGTGATGTTTATACCAATCTGTATATAGTATAATTTACATTCAAGTTTAATTGTGCAATTTTTAACCCTTATTGGCTGGTTTTTTGTTTTGTTTTGTATTATTTTTAATTAATACTGAGAGATTTAGTCAGAATTTGAGGCCAGTTTCCTAGCTCATTGCTAGTCAGGAAATGATATTTATAAAAAAAAATATGAGACTGGCAGCTATTAACATTGCAAAACTGGACCATACTTCCCTTATTTAAGCAAAATATGTTTTTGGAATAAGTGGTGGGTGACTACCACTACCAAGCTGTAGCTCTGTCTTTGCTTGCCTCCAGATCATCTGTACTGTGGGTTTAAGTATGCTACTTTCCCTCAGCATCCAATAAGCATGGCCTCTCAGTTTCTTTGTGGTCACCCAGGGTTTAGAGCAAGAAGTCTTGCTCTATACAAATGTATCTATAAAATATCAGAGCTTGTTGGACATAAACATCAAACTTTTGTTCCAGTAATATGGCTCTGCTTGGAAAAACTGCAAATCAGAAAGAATGTGGAAACTGATGTAATTCACACTCCGGGCAGTCTCTGAATGAAATGCTACTTTCCTTAGAAATATAAAACTGCCTTAGACATTATGAGGTATATGTGTAAGTATTTAAGATACCATTTAATAGGCCCCATAAATGTCTTCAGTGATCTTCAGGGTAATTGGGATCTCAAAAGATTTGGTTCAGATCCAAACAAATACACATTTTGTGTTTTAGCTCAGTGTTTTTTAAAAAAAGAAACTGCCACACAGCAAAAAATTGTTTACTTTGTTGGACAAACCAAATTAGTCCTCAAAAAAATGACCGGTGCTTATAAAAAGTTATCATTCTCCAGTAGCTCCAAAACAAACCACCTGACCAAGAGGGAAATCAGCCTGTGATTAGTATTTACATTGGACACCGGTTTTGTCATCACTGACTTATGTGAAAACTGGTGCAGAAATTCTATAAACTCTTTGCTGTTTTTGATACCTGCTTTTCGTTTTGTTTTGTTTTGTAAAAATGATAAACTTCAGAAAATAAAATGTCAGTGTTGAATAATTTATTTTTCTCTGACTCTAACACTTATGAATGTGTGGTTAATTAAGAGGAAAGGTGGGCCGGGCGTAGTGGCTCACGCCTATAATCCTAGCACTTTGGGAGGCCGAGGCGGGTGGATTATGAGGTCAAGAGATTGAGACTATCCTGGTCAACATGGTGAAACCCCGTCTCTACTAAAAATACAAAAATTAGCTGGGCATGGTGGCACACACCTGTAATTCCAGCTACTCGGAGGCTGAGGCGGGAGAATTGCTTGAACCCAGGAGGCTGAGGCTGTGGTGAGCCGAGATCGTGCCACACTCCAGCCTGGGTAACGAGTGAAACTCTGTGTCAAAAAAAAAAAGAGGAAAGGTTTCCTGCTTCTCCACCAAGTTCTGTACTCTTAACAAGAACTAATTTGGTAGGATTTTTATAAGACTATACAGATATAAGATGATAGAGAAGAGAGTCATTAATGTCAGCACTACTGAAGCCTTTGGAGGGATTCCATAGTCCTGTGGATGGCAGTTAACACCTTTTTATATAATAACAGATATTACAGTGTATGTAATATCACTGCCCAAAGACCTAGACTAGAAAGTGCAAAGTAGCCTAGCAGCTGCAGTCATTCATTCCCAGCCTCTAAACATCTCTTTCCTACACCTTAAATCCTTTTCCTGGACTTACCTACTCATAGCAACTTCTGTTTGCTTTCCAGCTGCACCTGACTAGATTCCCACTTTAAAACACTTCCAGGCAATTCAGGGCCCTGTGGGTGAAGATGAGCCAAGCAATAGGTATTATTTTTAAATTTTACTTGGAGATGAGAACTTGCTATGCTGCCCAGGTCAGAGTGCAGTGGCTGTTCACAGTTGTGATCATAGTGCACTGAAGCCTCAAACTCCTGGCTTCAAGCAGCAGTTTGGCCCCAGCCTTCTGAGTAGCTGGAACTGCAGGCACATGCCACCGTGCCTTAGCCAATAGGTATTAGAGGTAGTCAAGTAGGTATAACATAACTGATCAGCTAAAATCAAAGCAAAAATGATACTGAATGCTTTTTCTTAAAATCCTTCTTAACGTCACTTTCATGACTGAAGTATTTGGGAAGATTCTGCAGTTCCATATTCTGTGTTCATGGAAATGGGTGTATTTAGAATCTGCCAGTCTATCATCTTTACTAAGAGGAGAGAATAAAAATATTTAACAAGTAGTACAATATAGAGACTGAGTCAAAATGGATACCAGTTGGAAACAACTGGTTCAACTGATGCCTCCTGACTAAATGTCAGCCCAGGGTATAGTAACCATGACACAATACTATCCTTGGTGAAAAGAGTTGGGAATAGGATTAACTGTGAAAAAAAAAAAACCACGTATATATATATATATATATATGCACGCCAAGGGACACTTTTAGTACAAAAGTAGTTCTTTACCTCCCATTCTTTCCTCGTTAATCTCATTGGTTTTATTATTTGTTTTTTTCTTGCCATTTTACAAAGGGGAAGAAATGGAAAACATACCCCTTTTTAGTCATTAGGTAGCAGCACCATTTAGGTAACGGTCATACTCAACCCCAGTATGATGATATTTTAAGAACATGAACATGGGTGAAATCAATGTGTAGATGGTACAACTTAACCAAATTCCTTGTAAAGCATTTAACTTTGATCCCCAGGATCGTGAGGACATAACAGAAGAATAAGGCCTGAACCTTGGTCACCAGTTTGCTATCAGCCTAACTGGCAAGTAAGGTTAAGCACTTGAAAATTAACGTCATACAATTTAGCATTTGGCTGTAAATGCAGTTAGTCAATGTTGGGAGCACAATAAAATCAGAGTGGACCAGAGTATTTAAAGTGAGACATTAATTTGAGCTAATCATTTGGAAGGGCAGAAAGGACTAAGTCCAAGTAACATGAACAGAATAGAAAGATAAAAGTGACTTTAATAGTCACCGTTCTTGGAGTTTTAATGTTAACATAAAATTCTAGATGGTGTGAACTTTTAACAGGATCAGGCTTTCATAAGCTATCTCCGTAGAAGATTGAAGAAAGACAAATTATGGGAAATCATAATTTTTTATTAGCTGAAATAGACATTGACGGTCATTAAGTTTCACCCCATGTATAATGGTAAAAAGAATGGGAAAATTAAATTTTGTTAAAAGGAAGACATTTTAAGTTAATGATAAAGTAGTTATTTAAAATGGGATGGCTAATTATGGCTGTTTTCATTTAATTGTTTTTGATCATTTATTACAATTGTAAATTATGTTTACTAGTGTTCATTTTAAAGTAGTTTGTTAATATTGAAACATCAGTAGTCTATCCCAGGTCCATGTGGCCCAGAGTTAAGTCTATATGAAAGGTAACAAAGATAGAATGCAAATAGCAGGAAACAAGTCATAGTATCCCCAGCATGTGGTATTTACATGGTTTTTAATTTTTCAAAGCAAGATTCTGAAGTAGATTAAAACACAAAACCTACCTTATATTGAGTCCTTACTATGTCTCAATCTCATTATATATTTGTCTCCAGAACTGAGGCTAAGAGAATATATATAATCTGCCCAAGATCAGATAGTTTGTAGGTGCCAGAACCAGGATTTCGAGTCACATCTGCTTGACTCCAAAGTTACATCACACTCAAGTCCGGAGCTGGGAGAATAAAAAGGTTTCTAAAAGAGATGAAGTTTTTTTTTTTCTAGAAATTCCAAACCTTGGTACTTGGGTGATACTGTAGAGAGGTAAAATCAACTCAGGAGGCAATTATAGAGGCAAAAGCTGACAGACATAGGCATCAAAAGGAAGATTTGAAGACGTTCCACAGCACACAGAGCAGAGCTACTTTTTAACCATAAGTTTTGCCTGTATTTTGATGATTTTTTTAATGTATTAGAAATAGTAGTAAAGAGCAAGACATGAGAAAACTGCATGCTTTAAGAAATTCAAACCCTCAGTTACTTTTTTCTAGTGGAGTTATGTATATTGTGGGTATTGACCTCTAATCTCATTTTTAGTGCATTCCTTGCTTTTTATGTTTTTGTAGATGATGTATTTTGAATAATAAACCATTTTAATTAAGTTTGTCATAATTCCATTTATCAAGAACCAGTGTTGCAATCTCATTTCTTTAGCCAAGCTCAACAGAGAATTGTTCATAACTAAAACTCGTGGGCTTAATTGAATTCCCAAGAATCATTCTGGCCCACCTTACTTCATTGTAATTGCCTGGGGCTCCATTTTGGAGGCACTCCAAATTCGAAGTTATCTCTGTCCACCCTGCTGGAAAGCCCTCACGTTCTGATATCAATGTCAGTGGAAAATAAGTTTTGGGCCGGGCGTGGTGGCTCATGCCCGTAATCTCAGCACTTTTGAGAGGCCAAGGTGGGCAGATCACGAGGTTAGGAAATTGAGATCATACTGGCTAACACGGCGAAACCCCGTCTCTACTAAAAATATAAAAAGCCAGTTGTGGCGGGCCCCTGTAGTTCCAGCTACTCAGGATGCTGAGGCAGGAGAATCGCTTCAACCCTGGAGGTGGAGGTTGCAGTGAGCCGAGATCGCACCACTGCACTCCAGCCTGGGAGACAAAGTAAGACTCTGTCTCAAAAAAAAGAAAATAAGAAAATAAGTTTTGCATGGGAAATGGGAGATCCTTGAGTTAACTCTGGGCTTGAGAAAAACAGGATCAAAATCATAGACCTGCATGGATGAGGGACCAAAACACCATTCACCAGGCATCAACCCACTAGCAAATATTTATTTATGATTTTTATGCATGGCACTGTTGCAGGTCGACTAGGCTTTGTTTGGGTTTGTACAGGATTGGATCAGTTCTAATTTTCTCAACTCTTTCTACTTCTTGTTTTCAGGTGCCTTGTATCCTTTATTTTCCCTAATTCTTTTCTTTGTTTTTTCCTCTCTCTTCAGTTCATGCATCTGCTGCTTTCCCTCTCTTTTTCTGTTTCTACTCCCCTTGCTTCATTTTTCCCATTATTTCATGCTCGTGCCTAGGCTCTTAGAGTCATTTCAACTAATTAAATATGTTCTGCTCAAGCAGCAGGTTTAAACAATGCCTTCCCACAATTCAACTGACTTTTAAATTGCCCTTAAACTGTGTGACTACTGATTTTTACTTCCATAGGTTGCTTTGGCCAGCAATTGAGAAAATAACCTAAAATCTAAGCTTGACCAATTTTTTTTTTTTTTTTTGAGATGAAGTCTTGCTTTGTCACCCAGACTGGAGTGCAATGGCATGATCTTGGCTCACTGCAACCTCTGCCTCCTGGGTTCAAGCAATTCTCCTGCCTCAGCCTCCTGAGTAGCTGGCGTTACAGGCACCTGCCACCACGCCCAGCTAATTTTTCTATTTTTAGTATGGACAGTGTTCCACCATGTTGGGCAGGCTGGTCTGGAACTCATGACCTCAAGTGATTTGCCCACCTCAGCCTCCCAAAGTGCTAGGATTACAGGCGGGAGCCACTGCACCAAGCCAGACTAACTAATTTTTAGATACACGGTTTTTTGGTTTTTTTTTTTTTGGATTTACAAATAATGTCACTTTACAGACCAAGTATTTTAAAAGCACCAAAATAATTGACAGACATACCCAATTAAGAAACAGACCAGTGGTCTCTGTAGAACTGAGTACTCTAAAACAAGGCTTCTTCTGTCCATATTCCTGCCGTGGGACCTCTGCCCCACTCCCTCTCTACCTCAGCCCAGTATCACTAATGCAATATGTGAAAACCCCGGTGTCAAAACGTTCTGCGCAGGTGCCTCGTGTACAATTTCAGAAACAGAGGAGGCTGGGGGAGCCCACAGAGGTACAGCATGCCATCTACCTCAAGGTGGTGCTACTTCACCACATTGATGATCCAACCACAAGCATGGGATACAGCATTCACTTTAACGTTTCTGTTTTCCTTTATCATTTCGGTTACTTGAGTGTATAAGAGTCATAAACATAATGATCTATGTTTACATTTTTTATTCCTCTCTGAAACAGTTCCCTAGAATCCACACCACATGAAACACACACTGAATAGTGAATAACCCACCTGAATTCCAAAGCATTCCAAACTCCCGTATTTTCCAGCCTAGCAGTTAGCTCATGCTCTCCAAGACACACCCTCTTGACCTTTCTGCTAGACTGCATGGGCCCCCTAAAGTCATAGTAGCTGTCTCTTACTCATTCCCCGCATTCCTTGTAGTAGATGTTCAACAAAATATCTCTTGGTTGCATAACATTGATTGAGTTGAGTCACCTAAGAAATCCTTAAGTTATACACAGGTTTCTAGGCTACCTGAATAGAACAACACATCACAAGTACAAATTGAGAACTATACAAAGAGTAAAATAATTATTGGGTTCAAATACCCTACAGCCAATCAAATTTAGTCACAAAGAATTAAAATTCACTTCAATGTGGACAGTTAAGCAGGGAATTTATCAGCCTTAGGTGGAAATCAGAGCCACCGTGTGCAGCTCCTATGGTGTTTATCTCTGCCAGAAGTCACCAGAGAAAGTGGCTGAGGAACAGAATTCCAGCTCACATCTGACCAACAGTGGCACCATGGCAATTTATATGAACTGTTTATTACTCTGTGGCATGACCTTCTAAGAGTAGAGATGTAACCCAATACCCTTTGTTTTCCTTAAAGATAATTGTTAAATTATGTCATAAATTTCTATCACCTTTCTTGACTTTATACATAGATTTTTCTAACTCTGTCAACTCTTAAGGTAATGAATAACTTGAATGGCCAGTGCCACTGACTAACATCATGCTTTCTTTTGTTTCTCCAAAGATTTAATCAAGATGCCAGGAGCAACTTTAAGATTTTCTTCAATTGCTAAGTTAAAGGTCAGTATATTCATTAGCCAGTGGTTTTATATTTTACTCATTTTAGTTTTATTCATTTGTTTCCAAATAATTTGTTCATATTGTTCAAAATTCAAAAGGTAAGAAAGATATACTGTGGTAATTTTCCCTTCCACACTAGTTCCCCTTTTGACAACCATTATCACTTAATTCTTGAGTATCCTTCCAGATATAGTGTATGCATTTATAGGCAAATACCTATATAAGATTTTACCCCTTTGCATACATAAATACTAACATACTATAAATAGCATTCTGTGCCTTGCTTTTTTCATTAACAATATATTTTTAGTACATAGCAAACATCCTTATTCTGTCAGAGGCATTCGAACCAGAGCAACTCCGTCTTGAATAGGGGCTGGGAAAAATAAGGCTGAGACCTACTAGGCTGCATTCCCAGATGGTTAAGGCATTCTAAGTCACAGGATGAGACAGGAGGTCAACACAAGATACCTATCATGAAGCCCTGCTGATAAAATACTTCGCAGTAAAGAAGCTGGCCAAAACCCACCAAATCCAAGATGGTGATGGAAGTGACCTCTGGTCATCCTCACTGCTACACTCCCACCAGCAACATGACAGTTAACAAATGCCATGGCAACGTCAAGAAGTTATCCTATATGTAAAAAGGGGAGGCATGAATAATTCACCCCTTGTTTAGCATATCATCAAGAAGTAACCATTAAAATGGGCAACCAGCAGCCCTCAGGGCTGCTCTGCCTGTGGAGTAGCCATGCTTTATCCCTCTATTTTCTTAATAATCTTGCTTTCACTTTGCAGACTCACCCTGAATTCTTTCTTGCATGATATCTAAGTCCCCTAGCTTGGGGTCTAGATTGGGACCCCTTTCAGGTAACAATTCTATTTTTATGACTTCATAATAATTCTATTATATAAATAAATGTACCATAATTAACCATTTCCCTTTTGATTTAGGTGGTTTCTGATCTTTTCAATTACAAACAGTGCTAGAGTGAATAGCATTATACACAAGCCATTTTACATATGTTCAAGCCTATTTGTAGATAAATTCCTAAAAGTGGAAGTTAAGGTCAATTGGAGGGCATTTAAGGGAGACATTGCTAAATTGCCTTTCTTAAAGGTTTTATCAATTATGCTTTCTCTAGCAATGTAGAAGAATGCATGTTTTCCTGCCCTTTTACCTATTCTATGTGTTTGTCATAAAACATTTTTTAATCTTTTCAAATCCGATGTTTTAAAAATGGCATCATATATTTGCATTTCTCTTAATGTAAATGAGATTGTATATCTTTTCACATTTAAAAGCCAGTTCTATTTTCTTTTCTGTATTTTTGTATTTCTATATTTTCTTTGCCCTTTTGATGATCTTTTATTGAGTTGGAGGAGCTCTTTTTATTATAGAAAAATTAACTTTTTGTTTACAATAGGAATGTCAAATATTACATTTTGAGTTTCACTTTATAATGGTTTTTACTAGGAAGAAAAAAGTTATTTTTATTTTCATCTAATTGAGTTTCTTAATCTTTCCTTACAGCATTGAGTTCAAGTCATACTAAAAAGATTTTCCCAGCTTCAAAATTTAAAAATAGAAATCTCATGAAGTGTTCTTGGGTAGGTGTTTTTATGATTTTAAATTTTAGGTTTCTTATTTTGAAATATTCATATTTTTCTTCTCAACAATTGCTGCTCCAAATGTAAACTAATGTGATTAATTAGTCCCCAGACAGAAGTCTTATATAGCTCCTCATATATTGATTTGGTTGGTTTTCTCGGGACTTGAGGGTATTTTCCTAAGATAAACTACCTAGGTATTTCCTGCAGGATCTAGATTCTAGGTAAGAGACACACCAGCAACAACTAAAATTCAGTAGTAAACAAGCCATAATAGAGAAAAGAGTAAATTCATGTAGAATAACAGATGGGGAGCAATTACTTCTCCAAGAGAGAATGTCAAGGAAACGGTATGAAAATGGAACCATTCCCCTGGGTCTTAAAGGCTATCTAAGAGTTTGCCAAATAGAAAAGAACAGAAAGAGAATACGAAGCTGAGGTAATAACACAATTTCAGAATTCACACAATTAGTTAAAATTCCAGAATCCTATTCATTATTAGGATTAAATCATATTAATTAACTGATACCATGTTACCACTAAGTTTGAAGACTGGTTCCAAATTTTCTGGGTCCTCAGATCAAAAGCAAAAAAATTCCTATGATATAATACCCAGTGTTTATTCTAATGAGAGGGAAAACATCTGCTCCTGAGATACAGTCACTTATGAATTACATGTCATAGCTGTTGTCAGGACAGAAAGTACATAGGCAAAGTATAAGCTGATTCATAGTGACTCTTTGGGGAGCCATATTGAGTAGGCGATGTTGGAGCGCAGCAGGAAGGTGGACCATGAGAATCAGTGATGTCTGCCATGGGTTTTAGAAGGGTAGAATCACAACACACATTTTATTCCTGCTCTAAATGATACATAATACCTGCATTATTTGGCCCTGGCCTTTGTTTACAGTTCCATCCCCAACTAAACGTAGGACTGCCTCATACAAGTCCAGGAGACACCATTCATGTCACACAAGGAATGCCACTTATATGAAATCAGTATAACTGGGCTTCTGGGAGCTGTAATAATATTGTTTAATATTGCCTAACGCTCTGCTTAACTTTTACATGCCAACCACCAAAACTCATGCTTACATTTCTCTGCGGGTCTGCTCCATTCTTGCTTTTATCACCAATAATCAGCCTCCTCTGCTTTACCAGTAACATGCCAAAACACTACTACCAGAAGCCCCATAAGTTTTCCATCATGAAGTTCAGGCTCAGACCAAAACTGACTTCTCTTTCTCAGTTCCACTGCCAAAGTCCCAGGGAAGGATTCTGATTTGTCCAGCGGTTGAGTCTCAACCGCTGGACCAATCAGCTGAGACATAGGCTGGATCACATTTTATTTTACTAATATAGCGACTTTCATTGTAACTCTGTAGTTGGCATATAAGCACAAAAAGGCCTCAGAAGTGAGATTATTCTTCTTCTTTTTTTTTTTTTGAGATGGAGTTTTGCTCTGGTTGCCCAGGCTGGAGTGCAATGGCACCATCTCAGCTCACTGCAACCTCCACCTTCCAGGTTCAAGCAATTCTCCTACCTCAGTCTCCTGAGCAGCTGGGATTACAGGTGCCTGCCACCACGCCTGGCAATTTTGTATTTTTAGTAGAGATAGTGTTTCTCCATGTAGGTCAGGCTGGTCTCAAACTCCCAACCTCAGGTGATCCACCTGCCTCACCTCCCAAAGTGCTGAGATTACAATTTTGAGACACTGTGCCCAGCAGAAATGAGATTCTTATTACACAAAATAATAAATATGTATTTCATGTACAGGTTCTTCTAGGTTAGGGCCCATGGATTATTTATCTTTGGTCACTTTATGAAACTTGGTTCATAATTGGAGTCCCTTATATTTATTGAAGTATTAGGCACCTTTTGGTGAATAAATGAATCTAGGTATTATTGCCCCATCTTAACAAGGTTAACTTGGAGAAGTATATTGCCTAGAAAAATATACATGTTATGGTGATCAACTAGATATAGGTGTCTGATTATTAACAAGACTGTTTTCACTTCAAGAAGGACCGCAAATAGAGCCTTGTAAGAAGTGTGGGCAACATGGTATAGTAAACGAGCTTTTACTTTGGAAAAACAGATCCAGCAAGCTGTGTGGCCTCTGCCAAGTCACTTAGCCTTTCTGAGCCTGTTTCTTCATCTGTAAAGTAAATATACTATCATCTACAACATGAAATTGTTACAAGGCATAAATCAAAAGGAGTGTCAAATATCTGGCTTATCTATTAGGCTTTCAAGTAAATTATATTTCCTTTGTGTACAAATTGATGGATTGATCTGGGTTTTACCTGGATTCATTTCTCCATTTTTCATCTATCTTATGTGTATGCATTATTCTATTTGAACATACTTTTTTTTGTTATTTTTTAGAGGGTAGACTCTGGGAGGCCAGAAACTATGTCTATAGAAATTGCTCTTTTTAAAGAATGCCAAGCAGAAGGCTGACTATGCCTGGGAATTGTAAAGATGCTATTCAAAGATCACAATATGTGGATAGGTTAACTGCCTAACCAGTCTCCTGACTGGCGGTCTTCAACCCATTCTCTACACAGCAAGATATTTTTAACCCAAAAATTTAACATCGAAACTATAGTTTTCTACTCCTTAAAAGGATTTAAAGTCTTCCCATTGCTCTTTGTATCAAATCCAAACTCCTTAACATGGCCACAAAATTCTGTGTGGCCTGACCTCTGTCTTCAGCCTCACTGCCCATCCTTCGTCTCTGAGTCCTAGTCACAGTAGCTTTCCCTCTGCCAGGCTCCTTCTAGCACTGGGCCTTTGCACATGCTACCTCCTCTGCCTGGAATGCTCTCCTCCTATCCTTCCCATTCACCCTCATTCAGTTTAATTTCTCAGAGAAATTGTTCCTAACCCCATCTATCTAAATTAGATCCTCCTCAGCTGGGCACAGTGGCTCATGCCTATAATCCCAGCACTTTGGGAGGCTGAGACAGGAGGATCATTTGAGCCCATGCATTTGATACCAGCCTGAGCAACATAAGGAAACCCCACCTCTAAAAAAAAAGAAAAAAATTAACTAGATGTAGTGGTGCATACCTGTGCTCCCAGCTACTTGGGAGGCTGAGGCAGGAGGATTGCCTGAGCCCTGGAGGTTGAGGCTGCAGTGAGCCATGGTCATGCCACTGCACTCCAGCCTGGGTGGCAGAGTAAGACTCTTTCTCAGAAAAAAATGTATATAATAAATAAATAAGGCTCCCCTCCTAGCCTTGAGTAGATACTGCCCTTTTCCTCTGTAGTGCTGGCATTACTGTAATTTATGTTTATTATTTGTATTTTACAAATATGACTATTTGATTATCTGTGTTACCACTCCATGGCCCACTTCGTGCAGACAAGCACTGTGTCTGTTTTTGCTCACCGCAGATCTCCTATGTCCAGCACCCAGTACAAATTACTTGTCTGTTACTAGACAAGGTAACTATGTCTAGTTACCCAAAAGATAGCAGGAATGCAGAAAATATTGGTTGAATAATTGGATGCTGAAGAATAAAATGGACCAAAAACGTATTTGCTACCGATTAGTACATAACAAATTACTCTACAACACAGTAGCTTAGAACAACAATAATTATTAAGACCCCTCATGTAAAATATGCATATAAAAGAGGCAGGGCACCATTCCTAGGGACTTCTGTACCCTCCCTTAGTTTCCAAATTTGGAAATCCTAAACAGTAAAGGTCATAAGAGGTGCCCTTCCATACAGATATAGTCAGTTTACATGTTATTGCCCCCAACAACATGTTTCTGCCCCATTCAAATGACTAGAAGGTCAATTTAGTTTTCCTATTATATCACTTACTACTGCTACATTAAAAATTACCATCAGACTTAGAGGCTTAAAATAACCTATGTTTGTTTATTATCCACAGTTGCTGTGGGTCAGGAATTTGAGCACAGCTAAGTTGGATCCTCTGGTGATATGGTCTGGCTGTGTCCCCACCCAAATCTCATCTTCAGTTGTAGCTACCATAATCCCCATTTGTCATTGAAGGGATCCAGTGGGAGGTAATTGAATCACGGGGTGTGTTTTCCCAAGCTATTCTCCTGATAGTGAATAAGTCTCACCAATGGTTTTATAAAGGGCGGTTCCTCTGCACATGCTCTCTTTTCTACCACCATGTAAGATGTGCCCTTGCTCCTCCTTCACTTTCCACCATGGTTGTAAGGCCTCCCCAGCCATGTGGAACTGTGAGTCCACTAAACTTCTTTTTCTTTATAAATTATCCAGTCTCCGGTATTTCTTTATAGACCTATGAAAATGGGCATTTTAGTTTTTCTACTATATTACTTATCTACTGCTACATTAAAAATTACCATAAAACTTAGAGGTTTAAGACAACATGCTTATTATCCACAGTTGCTGTGGGTCGGGACTTTGAGCACAGATAAGTTGGGTCCTCTGGCAAACCAGTGCCAGTTTTGCACAGGTTGCTGGGCTAAGGATCTCAGTGTATCCTGCCTGGCTCAGCCCAAACGCACCTCTCTTCAGAATGCTGAGATAACAAAAGATCTGTGGACCTTCTACCCTAAGCTCCAGCCTGTTCCGAGTGAAGCTCTCGGTGCTGGCCCTGCTCAGCAATGGTGCATCCACTGTTGATGGCGAACCATACCAGGGATGTAATAACAGGAGAGAGGAGAGCATCTCAGCACAAACAAAATTTGCGATGTGATACCTGCGAAGTATTCATAGATGAGTCCCCCACCCATCCTCCCTTTTATTTTGTGACTTCCCCCACCTGCCCCGCTTCCTGTGGAGAAGCAAGATGCTGCCATTTGTTCTACAGAATTGCCATAGTGGAGAGAGAACAAAAATGACAAATAGTTGGCAATGGTACACATATCCCAGTGAAAGACAGGATGTGGAGTGTTTGCTGACCAGTCTCTACTCTCCACCAGCCTCTCCTCTTCCAGCCACACCATGCTCTCACCGCCCCCCGCTCCACCCCATCAGAAGATAAAG